CACCTGTCCCCAGACTGGGTGATGAGCCGCCGGCAAGTCTCCATCTGCACATCCAAGCCTCGCTTCATGCTGCACATTTCCATGTACTCATGCAGGTGCCGATTCATGTCATTCTTGGCTGTGGCCAGCTCCAGCTGCACAAGGGAAACAGTGCAGAGATGAACCCAGGGCAGTGCAGGGCAGGGGGCACGGCCAGACCCCAGGCTGCCGCCCTCCTTTACCAACTACCTGCTCCAGCATGGTGCCTCCCTCTCCCAGGGACCCACTCCCCCATTTCACCCCCTTCTGTGCCATGTCCTCCCCTCTTCCTCCTCCCACCTCTATTTGGTCGATGGTTTCCTGGTACTCCTTCTCACGGCTCTTGAACAGCGACTCCGTGTCCTTGATCACTTTCTCCAGGCTGTCATCCTGCTGTCAGGGAGAGCAGACAGCAGGGTTAGAGGCAAGGAGGTGTCCAACATGGGAAACCAAAGGCAAGAGAGAGAAAAATCAGAGAGAGAACTGGCAGCACTGGGAAAAGAGGAAGAAACATAATCAGTGTTGTCTGAGCAATAAATAAGGCACGAGTCAGACTTTCCAACATGGGGTACAGAGACCCAGGACTGGCCACTCTGGGCAGTGAGCACATCAGCCCAGAACAAATCCACAGAAGCTGTGGAGAGAACAGCCCATCCCTGAGGGACAGCCCAGCACTGAAGATGTGGGACAGCGGGGGCTTTGGCCAGATGCTGAAGCCTCCATTTGGGCAGTGTTGCCACACAGCAGGCAGGTGGGCTGGAGAGTCCAAGCAAGAGACCACCAGAGCCCAGCCCAGCCAGAGGAGATCTTCTCTCCTGGGAGGGCTGCAGCTGGAAAAAGCACCTTGTCCCCTGCGCGTGGGCTGTGCCCTTGGCATGTCTTCTAGGCTAGAGGACCTTGGTCTGTCTAACATGGAGACCTTTGCAAGGATGCAGTAACATAAAGAGGGTAGATTTAGACTAGAATTAGATTAGGAAGAAATTTTTTACTGTGACAGTGGTGAGACACTGGAACAGGTTGCCCAGGGAAGCTGTGGATGCCCCATCCCTGGAGGTGTTCAAGGCCAGGCTGGATGAGGCTTTGGGCAACCTGGGCTAGTGGGAGGTGTCCCTGCCCATGGCAGGAGGGGTGGAACTTGATGATCTTTAAGGTCCCTTCCAACCCAAACCATTCTGTGGTTCTATGATTCTATGGTATTTACATAGGGGTGGTTGGAGGGAAGCATCTGTACAAGCCTGCAGGGAATGGAGGGGCTGAAGTCTGGACTTTGAGGAAGCATCTTCTCAGGCAGGATCGAGCATCCCAACCCAGGGCTGGATCCCCAAGGGGACTTGACACCACTGTTACCTCCCCCTGCACCTCTGCAGCTGCAATGGCATATCCAGAGAAGTCCTCCCAGAGGAGCAGTGTTTCTTCTGTCTCCTCCCATGTGAGGCTGTCACAGTCATCCTCAAAGTCATATTCCCTCCTGGGAGCAAGGGAATAGCATGTCAGCACCCAGCAGGAAAACCTGGCTGTGCCAGTGCCGAAAGCCTTGCCCCCCCGTGCAGTAGTGCTGCAGCTTTTGGAGGTCTGGCCAGGGTGAGCTCAAGGCTGCCCAAACCCCGCAGCTGGCAGGGAAGGGGCTGGCTTTACAGTCCGGAGCCCTGGCAAATTCAGACAGTGCCTCCCAGAAAGCAGGAACGGGGGCGAGAGGAGGGCAGCTGCAGCAGCTCCCACCCGCTCCCACCATGCCACAGAGCACAGGGTGTACATACCCCGTGGCAGCACCTCCCGTCTCACCCTCCCCCGGGAAGGGGAGCCTCAGCCCGCCCCTGCCCTCCCTATCCCAGGCACCAGCAGGAGCCTGGTGCCGGAGCCTTGCTCGATGCCGGTGGCGGAGACGTGGAGCAGCTGAGGGCGAGCCGGTGCCAGGCTGGGCCACACTCACAGCTGGTTCAGCATCCTCTGCATTTCCTCATTGATACTCATGGCTGTGGTTTCATCCTCCTCTTCCTCTTCAGGTTTTCGGGAGGCATCGCTCTCCGACAGTGAGGTGTCTTCATCGCTGACCTGCTTGCGCTCCCGCTTCCGCCCCACAGAGGCTGGGACCTTAACGGGAGACAAGTGCAGAGACTACAGAAACAAGGCCGGGTCCGAGGTCGAGAGCAGGTAGTTGGGAGGAGATGGAGGGGAAAGGAATGGCAGAAGGACAGAAAGGTGGGGAAAGAGAGAAAGAAAGGAAGAAAGAAAAGCAAGAGAGAAAGAGAGAGATGGGCTCATTATGATCAGGTTAAAGATGGTGCAATGGATAAAACATGGTTTTCGCATTTCTAAAATTAAAACCAAGCAACTAAAGATGGAATCTATGAATCTGATGAGAAAAAACAATGTGGTTTTACTGCAGAAAAAAAATCAAATCAGCCACCACCCCAGTCCAGAGACAGGGAAACACAGCGACAGGAAAAAAGAGACAGTCTGAAAAAGGTGAAATATGTCAATATTTATAGTCTGACCATATTAATAGAAAGTTTTAAATTTGTACACTTTCTCAACTGAATGGAACTAACCAGTTGCTTCTGTGGGGACAAAGAGAGCGAGACAGAAAAGCAGTGACATCCAGAAACAGAAGAGAGACAGAGACAGAGAAGAGAGACAGAGAGAAGATGATGGAGAGGGGAAGGGGAAGGAGAGAGATGGAGTTAGAGACAGACACTCAAGCAACTCGTCTCCCTCCTGCAGCTGCTCCCCTACCACTGCGGGGTCCCCAGGCCCAACACAACAGATCAGTGAGAGCTTGAGGGGACTCTTGATGCCGAAAGCAACAGCTGGAGCTTTCCACCTCCTCTCCGTGCCCTTTCGCCTGGTCATCCCAAGAGAGACAGAGAGAAAGGGACTGCAAGGAGCAGTAGTGAGGGTGACCAAGTGTCTCCCTTAAGAGGGGGCTGGTGTTGTCTCTTCTACCTCCTTTGGGAACTCTCCTCCCTAGAGCCAGCGGCTGGAGCAGCAGCAGGCACTTCTCACCTGAAACATCTTGATCATGTCCTCACAGTTCCGCTGCTGTGCCACGTCGCACAGCTTGGCAGTGATGTCAATGCGCCGGCAGATGTCCATGTCCACCTTCATGGCCTTCTCCTGGATCTTGGTGTCCAGCTCCGTGATGTTCTGAATCCACAGCGTCACAGAAGGGGGACAAAAGAGGAGGATTAGGCAAGGCAAATGGCAATCAGAGCCCCCACATTCACCCCTGGCAATGTAACCCCTGTGCTGCAGGACTGCATCCGCATCCCCATTTTGCTCACTGTGCCCTTGACCAACCCTGCCAGACCACCTCTGTGCGGCACACGTCCCACCAAGGAACTGCTTTCCTAAGCAGCCCCACCGCTCGAGTAGGACACTGCTGCTGGGTCTGAGAGGGCTTAGGGACTCACATTGCTCATCAGTCCCTTGAAGACAACAAGCTCTTCCTTGAGCTGCTCCACCTTCATGGCCAGCTCCTCCTGGCAGGCTTCAGCCTCCTGGGCTTCCTGCCCCCAGCAGAGGAAGATGTGCAAATCAGCAGCAGTGCAGGGCAGCCGGGGTACAGGGGAGGGGGCGGACAGCGATGCTCACCTCCTGCAGCTCAGTCACTCGGTCCTGAAGCTGGACACGCACCGTGTACTCCTCTTCCCATCTAGGGAGACAACCGCGCTGGTCAGATCCCACCAGCCTTGCCGGCTGCCGGAGAGGAGGGAGCAGCAGCTGCTCACCCCAAAGCTATCCAAGAGTGGGTGATGACGGCACTGGGGCGGGAAGGAGAACGTGCCCAGGAATGTATCACCACTTGTTTCCAGACTACGGCAGCTGCCAAACGCCCGTCAGCCCCCCTGGCCACAACCCGTGCCCCACCACGCTCTCCGCTGCCCTGGCCATGGGCTGGCTGATGGCTGCCTGCTCTGTGACAGGGGGAGCTGGGGACATCAACGGCAGGCTCCGTGCGGCAGCTGCACTGCTACGCCGGAGCTGGCCCACGCCCAATGCAGCCCACCGGCCTCTCTGTCCACTCCCAAGCTCCTTGGCCTTGAGTCACACTAGGTTCAGCTCCAACACTCAATAAGGGGCTTGCAGACATTGCAGAGTTTTCCTCCACCTGCATCACAGCCACACGACATGCTGACCACATTACAGCATGCGTGGCCATGATGCGTGTCAACGTGAAGGGCTGCACCTCTGCCTGTGCCAATGCAGAGGGCTGCCCTGTGCTGGGCCACGCTACCTGGGCAGGGGCAGAAGTCTCCTTGGCTGTACTGCCACATAACAGGTTGTATTAAAGAACATTGTCTCATCCTGCAAGGAAGCAGGATGGATTGGCCCCTTTTCATGCCAGGTTGGCCAGTGGGTACCGTATTAGGCTCTGCAAAAGGCTGAGCTGCAAGGTGCTCAGCCTTGCTATACAAAGACACATTGCCTAGCAATTATTATATTGTATTTCACAACATGATCTCATCATCTTGGGCCACGCTGCGGTGTTGGCCGAATCCACGGTCTGTTGGGAGGCCACCAGGCTGTACTGCTCTTTGCTAAATGAGCATCCCATATAGCAGAGGGGTTGGCACACACTGCGGTGCAGCACAGGGCAGGGCTGCTGCATTCTTAACCGGCTCCTGGCTCTTCTGGGAGAGCCAGAGTTATCTGAGAAAGTGGGATTTCTCTGGGAAAGCAACCAGAGCTGGGCCCTGCTTGGTGCTGTGATCTCCAGTTTCTATCTAATATTTGCAAGCACTCACACAGGCGCTGCAACCCTGCATGAGGACATGAAAAATATCTCCTCTCACTTACTCCCACCAAGTTTGAAAAAGAAATGCTAAAGTCTAGAAGACCAGAAAGCACACGAAAAGCCCTCACACTTGTTATCTCAGGATATCAGGATTGTCTAACCACATGGGAGAATCCTGGCTTATGAGTTTCTAAGCCCTTAAGGCTGGCAACACTTCTTATTCAAACAAGGAGAAAGTGTGCAGTCCTCGTGTTGGTGTTGGCTCCATCCCACAGCTACAGAAGGGGAGTCAAAGGGGGTTCCCATCCCTTTTGGGGAAGAGGAAAATGAACAGTGAGGGAAGGAGTAAGTTAAAAGGTAGAACTGCCCTTATATGGGAACTGTTCAAACGAGGCCTCCCTCCCTGTGGAGAAAAACGCCTTCCACCATAAGAAAAAATTGTCAGCATCTTTCTCAGCACAGCACTTCCTCTCTTTTTCGGTCACCACCTCCCTCCAGGTCTCTATATAGCCCAGACTCACTGGGGAAGGAAAGCATAGCTGCAAATCCTTGGAAGAATTCATTCCACGCCAGTGCTACGGAAGATGAGGACAGATCAAATAAACACTGATTTAAAGGCAGGAGGCAACAGCGATTCGCCCCGCAAGCAACGAATCTGCACACCCATCCCTTACAAACCTCTCTTCCATTTGCCTCCTGCCTGGCTCCTTCTTCCCTGCTCCCTCCTGCAATGCACCATTCCTAATAATAACCTGCCTGCAGCACTGCACCCGCAGCGCAGCGCTGCCAGCGGCCACTGCCAGCTCACTGCCAGCGGGAAGCAAGGCTGCCCCACAGAACCCCATGGCCACTGGCGCACACCAAGGGGAGCTGCGTGTCCTTCCTGCACTGCTGCAAGGCAGCAACCTGCCCAAAGGCTGAAATACAGGAGAAGGCAGACAGTGAGGGCAGGAGGGTCCCAGCCGCAGACAGACCCAGCCATCTCCTTGCCAGCTGCAGGCCAACCCTCCCAAAGCTGGGGACGTGACAAGAGCCACTGCTGTCCCTACAGCTGCCCATACTCCAGGTGTGTCCCCTAAAGAAGTTCACTAAGCAAAATAAACAGCCCCCCACATCTTTAAAAATCCTGTTCACTGCAAAAGGCACTGGGGTGCGTTACCCTATGCTGTACGGCTAGTGCACCCCAGGACACCCTTCGCGCTGCTTGGGGCTTGGAGCTGCACATTTCCTTCTCTTGCTGTGTTAGTTCTGTTTGAGCTTTACCTTAAGGTGAATTCCCTGCAGCCTGGCACACCTCCTTGGAGGGCAATTACAGCAACAAAAGATCTTATTGCAGCCTTTCAATATATAAAGAGGGTTTACAAGAAAGATGGAGAGAGACTTTTTACTGGGGCCTGCAGTGACAGGACATGGGGCAATGGTTTTAAACTGAAAGAGGGTAGGTTTAGATTGGACATAAGGAAGAATTTTTTTTATATGAGGGTGGCGAGATACTGGAGCAGGCTGCCCAGAAAAGCTGCAGATGCGCCATCACTGGAAGTGTTCAAGGTCAGGGCTTTGTGCAGCCCGATCTAGTGAAACCTCATGGCAGCAGGTTGGACTAGATGATCTTTAAAGGCCTCTCCCAACCCAAACCATTCTGTGACCCTAACACACTGTGCCATAACACTACTCACCCTACACCTCCAGTGCGTCCTTGCAGCATCCGAGATAAAAACTGCTTGGGAATACAGATACAGCAGACAACACAAACCTGATGAGACTCTCAGATTCCTAGCGCTTGGCAGGCTTCTGATACTCACAGGCACTCTTAGCCCCTCTCCAGGCCACCTAGGCTCAGTCTGCTCCTCCCAAGTGTGGCTCCTGTGAGCCTCTCGCCTGCTGCTGCATCTCTTCTCATCTCTCCCTATTGCCCCCACACTGCTCCTAGATCCCAGACTTGAATTTCAGGCCCTGCATATCCAGAGAGAAGCTCCTCCTGCTGCACCGCTTCGAGTGCCACAAGGTGCACAGTGGCAGTGTTGCCCTGAAGAAAGCACAAGACCAAGCACCCAAGCTGTGGGTCAGAGAACTGGGAAGTCCTGTGTTAACATGGTCTCTTCCCTCTGCCCCCAGGCAGGTGGCAAAGGGATGACACCGGTCACGCTGTCCCCATGGCAGATCAGAGCCCATCATGGCAGGGAGGTCTCTGCTCCCAGAGGATGCTGGTGTCAGCCCTCAGCATGGGGAAGAGTGAGGAAACGGGATTCTGCTGTCCCATTCCCTTGTTTGGGACCTGGCTGCACCCATCAGAAAGTTGCCAGTGCCGGAAAGGGTCTGGGGGTGGGGTGTGCTTTCCCCCAGTCCCCGGTAACACAGTCCAAAAATAGATCCCACCAACACTGGCCTGTGGCGGCTCGTGGTGCCCCCCTGCCTGCCCCCAGCATCCCCACTCTCGCCATCACACCCCCCCGCAGCCAGAGTGGGACAACTCCAAAAAACTTTCCTTTCTCCCAAAGTTTCAGCATCACTGACAAACTCAACTCAGTCCCCTCCAGATGAACCACACTGAGGTGAGGCTTGAGCCTTCCATGGCTCCAGCTCCCCACTATCTGATCTGAAACCACAAGGCAAGGAGAGCTGCCTGCCCCTGGAGAAGGAGCCTGACCCCTGGCTTAATAATAAGAGGCCTTAGGTACACACACACAGCAATCGGTGAGAAAGAAGATACGACAACTTTCTCCTCCCACACATCTGGCTTGGTGCGTTCACAGGATCCAACAAGCAAACCTGCTAAGCCAAAGCCTTATAAAGCCAAAAAGCATAAGGTGTCATCTTGGATCCCCAGCCTTGACCTGAGCACCAGAACCCACAGCTGTGAAGCGAAGCTCAGCAGCACGGCTCCCGTAGGCAGCACGGCTCCTGTGGGCGGCATGCCCCATTTCACTCCTGTGGGTACAGAATTGTTTACTTTCTAAGTGTATTGTAAAGTGACTTTTCTTCTGCAAAAAAAATCAGTCACTTGGGTGGTGTCAGTCTCCTGCGATGGTCTCACCCAGCCCCGTACCCTGACCCAGCAACACCAGCCCGCTGCCTGATCTCATCCTACGTGCAGATCCGGGAGCAGCCTCAGAAAACTGGCTTGAAACAAAAGTGCTGCTGCCGTGATGCAAGAGCAGTGGCCATCAGGCACGGGAAAGAAGAACTGGCCAAGAGATTAGCTTTGCATTCTGCTTTGCCCTTCTCTGAGGCACGTGCCAAGCCGCAGTTATTTTGGGTTGGGAGGAAAGCCCCAGAGGAGTGGGGTGCTCCCTCACAGCTTGCTGCTGCTGAGGCACCAGCTGGGAGAGCAGTGGGAAGGGAAAGGGCCTGGGGGGAGCCAGCCACCCTGCTGAGGTATCCAGAGAGCTCTCCCTCCTCCCAGCAGCCTTTTCCAACCCAAACCTGCTCACTGCTACATGTTCACCTTCCTCACCTACTTTCCTGCTGCTCCTCCTTCCCGAGTGTTTCCAGATCCCCTCCCCTTTGAAACACCAGCTCCTGGAGTCATGTTATTTCTTCCCCGCTTGGAAAGACATTTCTAACCCCTCATGCTGGGTTGATAAAACGGAAAACGGCTCAGCGAGCATCTCTTGAGCGTTCAAACGCCAAGAGGCAAGCAAGGAGACCCAGGCACAGGTGAATGCTTTCAGGGGTCCATGTTTGTGCCTTACACCCCACCTCATGCTGCCTTGAGCCCGCGCTCCCAGGAAGTCAGGCCAGGGCAGCCTCTCCTCCC